TTATGATTCCTTTCCAAATATACGTGGGTGTATAAATTTTTCTAACATCAATTCTGTTGTTAGTGGCGATAATATCGATAGCCATTTTTGATATATTCTGTAGCTACTGTGTTAGACAGGGTGAATCATAATTTTTCAGTTGGTTTTCCCAATACTTCTAGGAAGCTGGTGGATACAATCAAGCTCGAAGGCGAAATTCTATCAGTTGTTAATGATAGTATTTCTTTCGTACAACTCGAAAGGTGTCACCTTTTTAATATCCTCATGATTTCCATATGTACTGCGTAATTTTTCGGCTACACTTGGTCAAAAGTAGAACGGATTGGTCAATGCTTGAAGTGCCACAAGCGTCTTCTCTAAGATTTCATTTTTTACGTTGAGGAATGTTGTGATGAACATTTATTTACCACATTCCTCTTGTATTTCCTCTTTCTTTTCTTTACATGGTGAGTTTATTCATTCACATTAACATGTTTGGTGGGAGAGAAAAACGTACGTCAAGTGGATGTGGTGAATTGGAATCTAAGGTAAAAGTAAGAATGTGCTGGCCCATGAATTTCCCTATGACTACTTGTAAATAATTAGTTTGCCTACAGAAAGGTGCATGAAACCGCTTTACAAATCGTAGAGGTAATCATTTTCCTTCAGCTTACAATTAGGCTTCATTGACAAATTGTAGGAACTACACAACATTTTGTGTAGCTTCTAGTTTTTCTCTATAGGCTGAACCAAAATTGGCATGTATACTCCTTTTTTATGCACGCTTTAGTACTGCCACTAATTTCGCTTTGATTGACTGATTGACTAGTTTCAGACAACATGAAATTCGTTTTCTGAGTTCCGCTACTAACCATTAGCCATCGCTATTACCGAATTACATAACTTGTTTCCAAGATGTCTCATTTATTACACCAAACCATTTAGGAATGACTTAGTTTAGTTCAGGTATACTGTTACGGTTAATTCAGTCATACAGATGTTTTATACGTGGAACAACTCACTTCAACGAAACTGTGACATAAATTTGAACGATGGACATAATGCATTACTTCATTTCATTAACAGTTTACTGAAAGTACATGTACATTCAACGTATGTTCAGTATATTATCTTTCAAATGGTTTTTGAATTGGTTAATTCTAACCAAACACAGTTTTAACATACAGTATGTAATATATTTTTCTAATTGATGATACCTTAGGATTTTCACTTCATCAACTATCGGCTAACTAGACAGACAGAAAGTAGTAGGCAAATCAAAACTAAACAGATGGTGACTAATTATCTTTTGTTATTTACGCAGTTACTGTTTTCAAAATGACATCACTTACTAGCCTAATATTTTAACCTAGTTAGGGCTTTATATAACTGCGTAACGATATGATTTCCTCTAGTCTACCTGAAAGCATTCATCATCCTAAGCAGTTGGAATGATGACATTTTAGTCTAGCTAGCGTATAGTGGGTCTGAGCATCTTCTGTATTTTTCAGTGGAGCATTGAATTTTAAATACATGAATTTGAGTTCATCTTCTTATGTTATCTACAGGTGGTGAGAATATATGAAATAGAACGAAGTGACCTTATTCGATAAATAAGTAATAAACGTTATCGCTTTTATGGTGCTGAAGACTACGGATTGAACAGAACGTGGAGAGACTTTAAGGGCAACCCTAGAAATACTGAACCAGCAGATTAAGTTTCTGTATTTCACACAAAACTACCATTCCAGTTAAAATATTGACATCTAATAGGTCGTTTCTGTAGTCGTTACCCAGAAGTTTGAAGTGATTCTAGGATGTGGGGTGTCACCATTTACGTCTGTGTTGTCTACACTTTATTTGGAAGTTTAGGTTCGCCAATAATCACATATTATGAGAAGCCGCAGTCATTTGCCACTAGTTTATTGCGAATATCTGAACAGATGAATATTTGATTACAGGAACATCGCCCATTTTCATCTCTGAGCAATTGTAGTCATTAGGATAAAGAACAGTTCGTTAATACTTAAATCAGTGATAGAAGATTCGACTGTTAACTGTCTCATATTCCAGTGATGTTATTCCTTTGTTGCATGTACAACTTGTGTCTTTGTGCTTAATCATGTGATAAATTCTGATGAGTCCTAATATTTGCGTACCACACTACATTTAAGGTGCACTTCAAACGGAATACTGTCTAAAAACAGTGGTCTTATTCTACTATTTCTCTTCTTGTCAATGAATTGAAATACCTCTATCTTTTCAGACCTGAAGTGTTTACTTAGCATTAGTCAAGCGATCGTTGGTTTCATGAAGTGGGAAAAAAGTTATTTTGTGAAAGCCAAGTGTTCTAGAAAACCGGGTTTATCTTCCAATTTCGACGTGACACAGACATCTGTTTGCTTATTCTACCGATGAAATAAATCAGCCATTTGTGATTAGCAGATTTTCACTAGGATCTTATGAATCTATTCACTGAAACGCTTATCTGGCCACAAATGATATGTAATTAGTCTTGAGGGTGACTGTCTGAAAGCTAAAGAAGTATATTTTGTAATAAGTTGAAAACGTTTTAGGGAAAATCAAAATGTATTGAAGAAATCAAAAATTAATGAAAGAATTCTAATTTCTAAACCTGAAGTAGAAATAATCAATGAAAACAAATTTTTGCGCAAAATGAAATTAATTTCCGTAGATTCTCCTTGATTCAAAGTAAATGACTCCGAGAAAAATAAGACCGTAGTTAATGGAAAACAAATCATAAACAAGCTTAGACAACTTCACAAAGAAAAGCTGGTTGCTTACCAAACATATGATGAGTTTAGACAAAAGGATGCTGTCAACACCTCATGTATGGTCATTAAATGTATGATACCCCTCAGCATTATTTTCTTGGTGTTTAGGCTCCCTACACCACAAAACAGCATGTTGGTTGGTCCCAGAAATTAAAATGATCCGAAAGAAGCTATCAATGCACTCAGATTAAGGCACACTTGAATTTATCGAAAGACAGTAGGATTTAGATATTTTTATGTGAACGTATACCTTTACAAGAGACCGTCAACAATATTTGTTGACACGTAGCAGACATTCATCTAATAGAAACTGAACCCGTTAGTCTTTTACTACCATGTATGAGAGATGTGCAGTTCCAATTTCATGGTTTACTATCCAGATGGTTCAATGAAGTGGCTAAGCTTAATTCTGTGGAACATGTATCAGCTCGGACACATAGAGAAAAGCTGGAAATACTCGCCTTAAAACCTGTACTTCACACATCTATCTATTATATGCAATGCCATCTGTGTCTTTGCCAATTGCAACAGCCTGTATCAAACGTCAAGTATCCCCCTAAGTGTTTAGTGATGCTGAAAAAGACGTCATATTTACAAGGGAATGCTAAGAAGTACGCCAACTGGGCTTTCTTGATATATTTAGAAAACGCAAGTAACTTAGTAACAATAAGGCAAATATTCACCGTATTACAAATTGGTAACCTCACTATCTAATCTTCAGTAGTTTTTTTCCAAATCAGCTACAAGAATGGGTTGGTGGTAATGTGTCGAAGAGCAGAGAAGATACACCCTTACGACAAACTTTAAGCTGAACTAAAGGTGACCAGCCGATCTCTTCTAGACAACTGATACCATATGAACTTCATTAACAATCACTTCATGAACTGCAGAAGAAAAGATCGTAGTAAACTAAAAAAGTCAGTCATATTGAAGCTAGAGTTCAGCAGGGGCGACAAAGTGAAGAGAATAAACAGGTTTGCTTGAAGTACCAAATCATTAGTCTACCAAGCAACGAAGTTGGTATCAGTTTATAAAAACAGATGGTGACTCACTGATTCAAAAGCGGATAAACTATTGACCCTGTATTTCAAGTGTTATTTACAAATTTGCATGTACGTATTGAAACATATAAACTGGTCGAACAAAGATGCAATGGATTTTTCAGATCCATGAACCTGCAACAAGGAATTTAAGCATAAAATGTTATAGCTTTTTTAACGGCGTAATAGTTCACTGTATAATAGGCACAGAACATGCAACTGGCACATGAGAAATCTTCCCAATCATCAATCGGTAGAAGACTTCAATGGTTTGTGGTTGATTGAAGCCATAGCTACAAACGAACAAGACACACCTTAAGGTGAGCTTTTCTAAATTCTAGGGAAGAGTCGCAGCCTAAAGTTTCGCCTAAACTGAAATTGAGGACAAAATCTTGCCGGTATCATTCGATGATAGTGTCAATGTATGCTGAATCAACAGGAGTAGAAGGAAGTGTATCATTGAGTTCTAACGCATTGGAGGAATCACTGTGAAGTCTGATGGTTTTAGACTTTATCTCTGATTAGATCATGGATTTATAACTCTTTAGAATTCCATTTTACGGTAAAGCAGCCCTCCAGGGCTCTCAAGTACTCAATGGTTCTCTGACCGATGTCAGTCCATGATGAATACTACCTAGTTGAATTTCTTTATTTTGACCAAAATGTACTACAGCTTTCACTGTCATTAAATTCACAGATTTTACTCACTTGTCGACTTTTGCATTAGTAGGTAATGTTTACTTTGATCTTGTTATGCTCTTTGAGGATACATGAAATTCACTCAGGCATTCTAGAGAATTCATGTCCCCTTATTAAGTGTCTGAAGCGCAGATTTGGGACACCCTACTGAATACCTTCAAATAACTAACATTTTATAAAGTCTGTTTGTGACAAAATAAACTGGAAAATGCGATAAACTAAGGGAAACATTCATTCTTGTTACTGCTTATGAGAGCCCCATAATACTTTCTCAAGTTTGAATACGTCTCATTCAATACTTATTTATCTTACCAACAGTCAGTCCAAGTAATGCAAGAAAAAATAGCATTAGAAATACTTCTGCCGATCGAAACATAATACTATGCTAAAATTCTTATTTAATTAACCATCCAATAAACACAACTTTTAAAAAAATAACTACAAATCTATTGTGTCAAGGTGATTATGTTCATATGTTTGAAGGTATGCTACTAAAGATGAATCCACTGAAAGTTTAAGGTCATTTTCACTAGACACTGTATAAATGCGATAATTTTCTGTTACATGTCAATCTGTGGGCAAGATTATTCAGTGATCTATTATATTATTTTCCAACAAAATGAGTGAAATGAAGGCTGTTGTAAAAAGTACTGATATGCCAGAAAGTGCACAACAACTTGCAGTGGATACTGCTGCTATTGCCATGGAGAAGCATTCCATTGAAAAAGATATTGCAAGTTATATCAAGAAAGAATTCGATAAGCAATATCCTGGCGCATGGCAGTGTATTGTTGGAAAAGACTTCGGAAGGTAGGTTTGATATTGTTTATCTATTGTCACGTTAAGAATCTCATCTTTTTATGATTCATAATGCCACTCAGACTAGATAGTTATAAGGCTATTCACAAATCTGAAGAAGGAATTTTTTGTTGCGTTCATATTAATTTGATGTTGGCTTTGAACAGAAGAATTTGGAGGTATATGGGCACCTACTCTGCACCAAATCGTATAAGGATAATTAGTATATCTTCTTAAGAATTTTATATTTTTTTTCTTTGCGCACTCATACATCAGAGAAGATAACTTTTCTGAGTATAAAAATATGGAAAGAAAATCATTATTTGATTATGGAGATAGCATAATCCAACAGCCTGACTATGCATCGGGCATCAAATTAGCTGAAACTTAAAGCATTATTGGCTTAAATACACAACTAAAACATCTTCGTCCGGAAGTGTTGGAGTTTGAAACCAGCAAGATTGATGAGAATTATTTCCTTGAATAAACTACAATATGAAAACTTAAACCTTAGTTATTTTCATTAATTATTCATAATATTAAAAAACTCATGCATTATGCTTTCTTCTAAAAAATTTTCTTCACAGTTACGTTACACATGAAGTCAACAATTTCATCTACTTTTATCTGCAAAATGTTGCTGTCCTACTCTTCAAAGCTGGTTAGTTACGTATAAGAAAGAAAAGTAAGATTATCTTTTGGCGTAAATGAACAGAACTGATATACTTTTATGCATATGATAAATAAAATTTAAAAAATAAAAGTCACTTTAATAAATTTTCTCTACTTTCTTCCGTTCGAATTGTACAGTTACTTAGCTATATTTTTTTTAATGTTTAAGTAACACCGTAAGTCTCCGAAAAAAAAATTTTTAGAAAGTGAACAATAACGATATATAACAACCAAATCAACAATAATAGAGAAGCTGAAAAGTTCTTTGTATACAATTACAGTTGTTTATCCTGTTCTTGGGGGTTGGATCTAAATTTCATTGTATGCTTAAGCACTGACTGATATGCTTTGGTAAAGTAGGTTCATGATTATTTTCCACTAATTAAAGTTCCAGTTGTTCACGAAATTATCTGGCTATTTAGTCTCATCAGTTGAAAAAACTTTTACTAACCAACTTCTGCATGCCGATTCTTAACTTGTGCACGTTATGCAAATATACTTTTCAAGTAGATCTGCTGAATTATAGGGAGTATATGTGATAAAAGATACTGGAACATCATGCTGAAATACATCTTCAAGTTAGGATGGCCACAAAAATATTTTCTGCTTCATATCATGAGTTGACTCTGCAAATACTTAAAGAGTTAGTAATTTTACTTGAAAAATTGGTTTTTAGAACTTAAGATCACTTGTCATCCTTTTTCAAAAGCATATTATTTACTATTGTTCCAACGAAAATGAAAATGCAGTCGAGAATTGCTCCAGCTCATGCACAATTTCTGATAGTAATCATCAAAAACTTGAAGAAACACATAACAAAGCAACTTGAACTAAACCTGTTACCCATAAACTTAGTTCAGCTAATATTTTCTGAGTTACATCAAGGAAACTTTCACGTACATCTATTAATCTTCGAATGAACAGAGCTTACTTTCAAAGAATTAATGTTGTGTTACTGATTCTCTTTGGAACTTTATCATAAAATGGAAGGTAGGTGTGTAAAACGGCACTGGTTTTCCCTGTGATTTCAATCTTATATTTTATCATAATAAATGAAGAATAGTTGAGTTATTTGGCGTTTCCACTTGCACTAAATGTGGTTAGGCGGTTGCACAGTATGTCTTGAAATATATTATGTCACAGATCGACTATTGCACAACTATACAACATTATGCAAATTCATCACGAGTTGCTGCAATCAGGCGCTACATGTTGGTATTAATCAAAAGTAGAAACATGTGAAAATGAAGAAGATATCAAACTGATAGTCTGTTCAAAAAGCAGAAAAGGGGGGAGATTTAGTACTATGAATGGTCCAATAATCAGTTGAAAGAAGCAATAAAAGAGTGACATGGGACCGACAACTGTGACAGTGCACTTCGAAATGACTTCAAGGACTTCCAGTCTTATAAAATCAGCCACTCATAGAAAGCATGCAAACGCCTACTTATAATGACAGAAGATAACCTTATCATATCCTCAGATAGGTTTAACAGAATACAACCGATAGCTGCAATCTGTTTTTTTTGGTCTAACTAGCATCCTACAATAACCCAATGAGATATGCTAGCAAAAAGCTTTGCTGAATACCGTTAAGACGAAACGCAACTTTAGTCATAGTGTAGTTAGCTTACGCTATAATGGAGGTCCTACAATAAACTTATATTGCTGGCCATAAGAGGTGACAATAATGACGTCTTTCCTATGTATGGCTAACACTCTATGTGGATGCTGCCTTATGTTATCAGATAAAGCCACTTGAAAATCGGCAAGTCCCTCCTTGTTTCTCACTTTTTGGTGACGTCAGTGTGAACGTTTCTAGCCTGATTGTCAAACAATCAAAACTAAACATTTGCTCTCCAAAAGCGGTCTACGTGACCAATCTCAAACGAGTAAAACTTATGCTTCTCAGTTGCGTACTCAGGTTGTTGGTAAGACCTGTTCTAATCCCCTTCCCTCTTTTGAGTACCTGAAAAAGAGGTAAACGTTTTCATTGAGTAGTTTGAAAATATCAGCTACCACTATGTATCCGTCAGAACACAGGTATGCTGTGACCATTAGTAACTTTATAACTCTTCGCAGTGGATTTCAGTGCACCTGAGTAGGCTTATTCCGGCAGAAGTTCACCTAAATAGGATAGTTGCAAATGATTTACTAATCGCGAAATCTACGCCGATATTTCTGACAACTAAGTAATTTTTAACCACCGAAATGTATCAACAGGAGTTCCGTTGGAAATTACGCGAATAAGAAAACAAGGTAGGATCTCCAATATGAAAGTGTCATAAACTAACGAATTAGCTGCAAACTAATCTGGTTAAAGTATGGAATTCGGCAAATTTAGATGAGCTTAACAATTCGGCTGTATACAATGAATTTATTTGGGTACGCTTTTGACAAGCTCGGTCTCAAGCGAGCGACACGGGAGAGGTCAGCCTGAGCAGTCTCTAACCACTCAGTTGTTCAGTGGTATGCTTAGGAAGGCACATAAGTTACACTTTCTGAATCTAGGTCAAACAAACGGAGGCTACAGATAGAACGGAACAAGTGTGCTCAGACGACCACATATAGTATCTGGCCAGCACGAACTTCAGATATAGAAGTATTGTTTGACGTGCCATTCACTGAGTATAACGCAATAGTAGAGGTGTAGAGGCCTTACTGCTATAAGTTATTGTTAAAAAGTCAGTGAGAGACTAGCACTCATGCAGAAAGAGGTTTCTGAGTGATGATTACACGCTAGTCCGAACAAACCTATAACTGTACCTAACTGGACACAGGAAAACTACGGCTAGAAGACCATTCAGAGTACATTATGAAGACTGGAATCCTCAGATTACTTTCAAACTGAAACTAGTCAGTCTGTTGTAGAACTGAGAAAATATTACTTATTCTGAAGAAACATGGAACCATCTCCAATATGCTGTAAAAACGGAAGTTGAAAGTTTAAGCGGCCATCACTAAACTGAAACGGTGAATGATAGCAACCCATGATATGTCTGCGATAGAAATTTTTAAATAGATATAATGTTCAGACTAAGTGGAGGTTTCGCCAGATTATGGAAATCAGATATGATTCAAGTGAACTGGTCTCAGTCGCTCACTCCTCTAGAAAAGGAGGAAATCCTCCTGTGATAAGCGTAAGGGATGCAGTCTAAATAAAATGGTGTCTAAGATTTTAGGTTCTATGATTATCAGACGAATAAAGGAGAATGGGGACTACTTAACCTAGGCAAACCAGATGGGATTACCACCATACCATGGGTGGGTTGATTAGATCTTCACCCTACGTCAGATCTCAGGACGTAGGCACCTTACGGCAATCCAAAATCAGCTATTTTGGAACGAGAAAATGGCGTTCGGAACCGTCCACTGAAGTGATTTATGGCACTGCCTTTAAGTGGATGGGAGACTTGATGAGTACATTACCTTACATTTGAAAAGCTGAAAATTGTACAGCCTTTGATGAAGTATACGGGGACTTACCTACATCTAGTGGAGATGGTTAGGGATGTCCTCTGTCTTTTGTCTTATTTAACTCAGCCATATATTTATAACTCTTTAGGTAATAAGTGTCACAGAAAAACCCTCAGAAGACTTAGAGTATGCAGATGATATCTAAAGATGCTGACAAGAAGCGGAATCACCTGGCCAACTTCGGTTTCGGTTCCAAAATTTTTAAGTTTGGTGGAGGATACCATTACCTCCTTAGAATGGGTCTGAATAAGTAAAACATTTATTTATATTTCATGGAGCTGAATGAGAAAATTGAAATTTCGGGAAATCTGAAATCATGAAGTGGTGGAGAATGTTTTTAGCTCAGGTGAATGTTCTTTACTGTAATGTGTTCTTTGAGCTGGGTTGTTTAGTCGTAAAGCTTTCATCGTCTTTCTAGACGACATCATCAGCACTAACTTTAGTATGAAGTGAACTGTCAATATCTCTCTCACTCACGGAAAGAATGAATTCTAAGCGATTGGTTATCTTATTACAGAGAGACTGTTAGCTATCCCGGGGTATTTTCCTCATCTTCTTTTTTGATAAAGCCTCTGAAAAGTGATGATAGCTTGTAAAACGTATTTGATAAATGGCTGTATCCGGTTTTTTAGATACACCCTGAAATGAAAGTCAAATAATATTCTGCTTTTCACTTTGCAGAAAACTTAAAACTGCTTTCATTTGTGCCTATTACGGTGTTGGCTATCAATTAAATTTAGAAACTGCACTTCGTTCTATTGAGAACTTATGGACTACAAATGTTTTTCTCTATACTTTCATTAAATCCAATACGTTGTTTATTAGGCTACTTATATGCAAAAGCTACCTTACACTTGACATTGTTCAACTTTTTATTGAAGCTATCTTCTCAGTTTCTAACGTACTATAATAATCAAATTTAATGAGTACCGTCATAATTTACACTGGTAAATACCATAATCCAAAAATACGTAAGGAAGCGTCCCTCAGACCATGACCGCTGAAACCAACTCAAAAGGATTATCGAATCTGTTTACTAGAACATTACTTCTTTTTCATTACACTGAGACTGTAAACAGTGGATTAAATCACGTGAGATATCTTGAAGATTTGTTTGATGTCAGTATTAAACAACAGAGATCGTATTATTTCAGTTTACCATTAAAAATTAATGTCAAAAACTTGTCATAAAAGTGCAGATTGAGAAATTCGTCTCGACAGAATCCTTCCAGCGTAACAAAATGGTCGATTTAGACAGACGGATTCGTGGATTTTTAACTTTGGTCCTATGCACTGCTTTTACATTATTCTGTAACGTCTCAAAGTTATGGAGTCGGCTTGATATGATCACGGACAATAAGTTGTGTCCGAAACGTAATCAAGGAAATGGTACCGTTCCACCGTGTGATATTTCCAAATAAACAGACTAAAATGGAATTAATTTCTACTAAAGTCCTCAAGTTTCACTCTTACACTGCCTGAGTTCTGTCACAACACTTATTGTTTGAATGAAGGAGTCCTTTAGGAATTCGTAAAAACGTTCTCTGTAACCTGAGGAGTTATCGAGAGATCAGAGAATGTTTCATAGTGTGAACGGTAAACGTGATCTATCAAAATCCAAGAGCAT